GAGTGAAAATAAAATTTGAGTAAAAGTGAATTCGGAGTGAAGTGAAGTTAAAATAAAGTCTGAATAAAATTGGTGGGAAAGAGAAGTGAAAGTGGAGTGAATATGAATGAATAAAAGTGAAATGAATATAACATTTGATTAAAAGTGAAGTGAAAGTGAAGTGAAAATAAAATTTCGGTAAAACTGAAAGTGGAGTGAAAGTGGATTGAAAATAAAATTTGAGTAAAACTGAAATTGAAGTGAAAGTGAAGTGAAAGTGAAAGTGAAGTGAAAGTGAAGTGAAAGTGAAGTGAAAGTGAAGTGAAATTACATAAACAATCCCCAGTTTTCGGTTAGAGTGTAAAAAGACATTTCTGTTAATGAGAAATTTTCAGGAAGGAAACAAAAATTACAATATCCAACGACAAGAGTTTACTAGAAAAGTATATGAGATATGTGCGCGGAGAATATCTCGAAAATGCACAGCATCGAATTGAAAGCCATTGCCAAATGGGACGCAAATACAATGAGGAAAGAAGATTCGAGAGGCTTGGCTCGCGACGGTCTTTCTGATAAAAGCCAATAATCCTGCGAGCAATAGAAACCCCAAACCCCGTATTCACATTGCTCCCTTTTATCATACGTGCTCGCTGGCACATTCGCAAACACATTCTGAGTTCATATAGACGAACCAAATTCGTCCACTTTGTTTTCATGAGGCAAATATTGCATTTCTTAGATGAAAATTTCTCCTAATTCGATAATTAAAATTTCATCACAACTGCCCGCTTTTCACCGCGTTGTTTTATTAGCAAAGAATAATGTTTATAAACCACGACAAGTTTCTACTGCAGCAATATTTACTTTACAAGATTAATTTAATTCAAGAAATTAGAAAATTAAAAAAAAAAAAATTTCTACGAAAATAATTTTAATTTTACACTAAAAAATAAAAAAACTATTTTAACTCTGATAGAAAGGAAAATTTCATTTCTTCAATTCAAGTGCATAGTCTATTCACTCGTAGATAAAATCGAACAAATGTTTATTTGCCGAAGCGCCCTTTCATATATATATATATATATATATATATATATAGATATATATATATATATATATATATATATATATATATATATAACCAATGTACCGAGGTAGGACGAGGTGCGCAGAGAAGAGGAATTCGATAAGAAATCTATAGAAAAAAACTTCTTAGTCCCCCGAATCTTTGATTTGAACTCACGATGCAGCGGTGAAATTTAAATGTCACCGACCTGAAAACTTATTTCCTATGCACTTAGTTTGCAGATGGAAAGAATCAAAAGGAAATATTCACTGACGAAAAATTTTCATAAAACAGTTTACTTTCATGGCGAGGGAGGAGAAAAATAGTTTCGTTTTAACAAAGATTAAAATCATAGATATTGTGTTTGAGAACATTTTTTTTACTTGGTTAAATAACAATTTTTTATTATTGGATTTAAAGAACTCTGAATTTCAATCCTAAAGTCATTTTTTTCCAAACTGATCTCATATTCGTAATCAGCGACCCCATAAACCCCCGAGTAACAAGTTTCATGACAATCTGATTAATTCTGAATTTTAACGTCCGCCATATTGGATCCGCCATTTTAGATTTTCGAAAACTGACCTTATATTCGTCATCAGCGACCTTGAAAAGCTTTAACTAACAATTATCAAGCAAATTGAATCGAATTTTGAAAAAAGACGACGCCATATTGGATTCGCCATTTTGAATTTTTAAAAACTGACCATATATTCAAAATCAGCGACCCTTTAAACCTCCGATTAACTAGTTTCATGCCAATCCAATCAATCTTTAATTTTAACGTCTGCCATATTGGAACCGACATTTTTGATTTTTGAAAACTGATATTATATTCGTAATCAGTGACCTAAAAAACTTATATCTAACAATTCTCTCAAGCAAATTAAATAGTATTTTGATAAAGTCGTCCGCCATATTGGATCCGCCATTTAGAATTTTTAAAAACTAACATCGGATTCATAATCAGCGACCCCAAAAACCCCCGAGTAACAAATTACAAGTGAATCCAAACAATTTTTGAAAATGTCGTCCACCATATTGGATCCGCCATTTTGAATTTTTAAAAGCTAACATCGGATTCATAATCAGCGACCCCAAAAACCCCCGAGTAACAAATTACAAGTGAATCCAAACAATTTTTGAAAATGTCGTCCACCATATTGAATCCTCCATTTTGAATTTTGAAAAACTAACATCGAATTCATAATCAGCGACCCCAAAAACCCCTGATTAACAAATTTCATGATAATCCGATTAATTCTGAATTTTAACGTCCGACATATTGGATCCGCCATTTTGAATTTTTAAAAACTAACATCGGATTCATAATCAGCGACCCCAAAAACCCCTGATTAACAAATTTCAAGTGAATCCGATAAGTTTTTGAAAATAGCGTCTGCCATATTGGTTCCGCCATTTTGAATTTTTAAAAACTAACATCGGATTCATAATCAGCGACCCCAAAAACCCCTGATTAACAAATTTCAAGTGAATCCGATAAGTTTTTGAAAATAGCGTCCGCCATATTGGTTCCGCCATTTTGAATTTTGAAAAACTGACACCGTATTCGTAATCAGCGACCTTGAAAACTATAAGATTTATTCTGTTCATAGTCTGTAATCAGTAAAAAATCTTTAACATCTAGGAGACAAGAAATCAAATGAATTAAATCTTTTTTAATCATTAAAAATTTTTTTACATTGTATAAAGTGCAAAGTTTAATATTTATACTAATTATAATCGGAAAAGTATAATTTATCTGCTTGTGAATTCATTAAACATTAATACGCAATGATATTCTAAATTTACAAAAACTTATGAATGAAAATTTCCAAACCAAATGCGAGCATAGAACATAAATATCCAAACAAAAAGAAAAACATCATTAATTTAAAAACTTTTGAAGTGAGGGAAATTTCCTCTTTAAACAAGTCAATTTTACTTGGTTTGCGAGAAATTATCGGTGAATTTGCAGCGTCCCATTTGTCACTAATTCCAGATTCAATAAGAAGATTAATAACATTATCAAATCGACTTAAAAACGGTGATCCTGGTGCATAAAAAATTACACCTCCCGGCACTGGTTGAAGCCGGGGGAAAATTTTCATTCTCAACCCACGACCAGATTTTCTTATTCTATCCATTGCCAAAATTACCGGCAATTCTCTAGCAAAGCATGAGACATTTTGATAATCATTTCCCATTTGTGCACAATCATCTAATGAATTCTCGGAAAATATTGCACTGTTGAACATTTTTTCAAAAGCAGTATCATTAGTGTTGAATCTATAGCCAGTGGAATGTGTAATAAGAGTTAAATTTTTTTCGTATAATTCTCTGTATGTTCGAATTTCGTAAACTGTTTCTTTCTGTAGTTGAAAATTTGATAAAGTTGAAAAGATGTATGATGATTGGAATAAGAAGAAGAACATCATTGTTAGCATTAATAGTCTCTCAATAGTTTTCACTGGCATTTGGGGTACTGTCAAACCCAGAGAGATTTGAACGGTGTACATTAATTTCCAATTTTGAGGATTGAGATCAAGATATCTGCCTAAAATCCAAGGTATCGGAAATAAAAAGAATATGAGTACAACATTTATCAGATTCCATTCAGTTTGCAATTCTTTATTTTCATTGGGAAAAATTGGTACCAGTATCACCATGTTAATAACTCTTGTTCCTTTGCCTGTTGCCAGTAAATCGTTAACGCATGATTTAAACAGTGTTGATTGAACACCAAATAACTGATTTTCGTTGTAAATTGCTTTTCTCAGCATTCCAGTGTTGTATTCTTTGGTACAATTTACTTTTGGCCAGGTTGTCAAGTTGAATATATGAAAATTTATGGAGAAATTCATGACTGCTGTCATGGTCTTCCATAAGTTGATGTCAGGACCATGTAGGTTCAGAACATGTCCGGATAAATTACGTTCAATGTTGACATAAGGTCGGTAGTCAAATAGACTAACGTTCATTTTGTAACCGTTCAGATTATGAAGTTTGTCTGGAAACAAATCTGTTTGCTGCCTCAAGTTGGTTCTTGTTAATTTTTTTGTAAATGGATTATAGTAGATCAAGTGGGCATTAATTTCGTCGAAGTTGTCAGTCAATTTCCACTCATTTTCTTTACGTTGCTCCAACTTTAGGACACTGATATCCAAAAACTGTTTCGTCCAACACAATTGAAAGAATTTTTTGTACTTCGAAATTTTTATGCCATTGGTTACAGTAATCAGAACTTTAGGACGTGATCTCTGCTGTGACATTTTGGCAACAATGTCAAGCACTTTGATTATCTTTGATATGTTTCGTGTACTGTCTGAAGGGATGATTACAACTCTTGTCACTTGAAGCAAATAAGGATCCAATCGCAAATTTTTCTGATCTCCACTTATCATGTTCTGGAAATCAACAACTCGGGTTGGTATAATTTTGGAGAACTTGTTTTCGATTTCATGAATAACGGTATTGTTGAGATCATTTTCGTACAAAAGAAATTGTTGATAAAAATCCGTTTGCATTAAAGTTGTTTGAAAATGGGTCTTCCATTCGGATGCAAGAATTGTCCGTTCATAGATGAAATAAAATAGGCATAAAAGTAAAATGGTGTGCTTTAAAACGTAACGAATCATGTTCTTTTGTGTGTAGCTGTTAAAATCTGATGAACGTTTTGTTGTCTAAGGTCCAAAAAATATTTATCTACTGGAATCAAATTACGATCTTGTTAGTAAGCAAAGAAATCTAATTTCAATGAATAACTTTTTTAATTGAATTTACTTCTTAATTTAATTATCAAAATAATTATCAATATGATATTCGATGATAAATCCTAAGTACTTACTGATCAGTATTTAACGTCCTTTTAATATTACATGACATAATTTTTATGCCAATTTTCTAATCTTTAATTTTCAACGCTTTTGACTCCTTGGTCATGATATCACTGAATTTCAAATGGAAAGGAATGTCCACTTTCTTAGAAAGGGCTGATGTTTTTCTTTTCAATAAGCATAGTTTGCATTTCAAGATAAGATTTTTATTTTACTGAAGATATAAACAACTTGAGGAATAAAATAACAATTAAGGTCGTGCAGTAGCAATACAAAAATTTACGTAGTTTTTTCATTAGAAAATGCTGAGTTATTGATTAATTATATTATAATAGTGGAAAATTGTATTATGACTTAGTTTTTGCAACAGAATGTTTACAATATTTTACAAGTTCAATTATTGATTTATTTTTTCCTTCTATTTTCAGCAAAAAAATATTGATTGACCTACAATAGTGTACGTGTGCGAAAAAGGTGAATTATTGTTGCTTTACAAGTGTCCTAATGGAAATTTTTCTTACAAACTGTAAGTCAATACTATTTTTACAAAAATTTTGCGTCTACAGAGCGACTTGAAATTAAGAGTGCTCGCATTTGTCTGGATCACCGTCAACTGGGGGTTTTTTTTACAGAGGAGAAAGAAGCAATTGAAAAATGCTCTTCAACTGGTTTTATCGACAGTCGAATTCTAATGGTGTGTACTGGACAATAATATTGACAGTGCACGTTTTTATACCTCGACATCAAAACTCCTGGCTTGATATTAATTGCACTCCCATGTAAAAAATCTGCAAACTTTTCGCAAACTTTTATTGGACTTTTGTTTCTCCAAAAAGTCAGCATAGAACATGATGGTTTAAAGATTCAAAAATTATGGAATAACTGTTTTTTGATATTTTTGGAACTAGCAGGTTTTTTGCAAACAAGAGTCAACTGAAATTTCATAGGTTCCCGAAGAGATCGCAGGCATTCTGAGAACTTTTTGTTTGGGATTATTAGGCTTCAGTATATATATAATATAATTAACTACATAGATTTAAATTTTATTCGTTTATTTTTGAATAATTACATTCAACATGTTTCCTTATGTAAGAAAAGTTGCGAAATTTTTGAAATTACATTATTGATTTGCTTTTGTTTCTTCTATTTGTGGAAGGAAAGTATTGATCTACAAGCAAATTTGCATCTATAGAAAAAAAGTATAGTAGGTTTTTTTGCAAAGAAGGGTATCATTTTTATAAAAACAGAGTTCAAGGTAAATAGATGAATTACCTTTAAACTTTCAAGTAATTGTAGATAATAATTTCAAAAGCAAAAAGAAAATGGAACATGAATATCCAAGAGAAAGGAGAATTATCATTAATGTCAAACACTTCGACGTAAGAGAAATATCCTGTTTATACAAATCACTTTGACTTTCTTTTCGTGCAATTTTAGGAAAGTATGCAGCATCTCATTTATCGCTAATTCCAGATTCAATAAGAGCAGATGAAACAAGACCAAATCGATTTGGAAATGCAGAAGCTTTTGCAAAAAATATGAAGCTTCCCGGCTTACAATAAGACTAAACTTTCCTTCAGCCTACAATGTCATCAATATGTCTTGATGTGTTACTTCATAAGTCCGTTGGACGCTAACCACGACTACCGCGTAATCTTAAAAACTGGAACACAGAATAGAGTAACACTATAAGCTCCAACAAATTGCAATCAAAGTTTATATTATACTTGTGAATAAAAATTTCAAAAACAAAAACTTGAAACGAACATAAATATCCAATTAGAAGTAGGATTATCATTAGCTTTAATACTTTCGAGGTGAGAGATATTTCTTGTATAAACAAATCAATTTCACTTTTCCCTTGAGAAACTTTGGAAAGGTTATCAGCATCCCATTTGTCACTAATTCCAGATTCAATAAGAGCAGTAGAAACAAGACCAAATCTTTCAGGATATGGTGAACCTGCCGAATAATATATTGCACTTCCTGGAACTATATGAGCCATATTAAAAATTTTCATTTTTACTTCTCTACCAGAATTTCTTATTCTTTGCATTGCCAAGAGTGCCAAATGTTCTCTGCCATAACACGCAACATTTTGTTCATCATTTACCAATTTAGCACATTCAAAGAATGAATTTTCGGAATAAATAGCCTGATTAAAGATCTTTTCAAAAGCCGTATCATTGTTTTCAAATTTATCATTCGTGGAATGTGTATAGAGAGTTAAATTCTTGTCATACAACTCTTCGTATGTTTTAATTTCGTGGACTGTTTCTTTCTTTAATTGAAGATTGCATAGTGTTGAAAAGATGTTTGATGATTGGAATAAGAAAATGAATATCATCAGTATAAATGTAATCCTTTCAATAATTTTTATTGGCATTTTAGGTGTTGCACTACCCAGTGCTATTTGAATAGCGTACATTAATTTCCATTTGTCAGGATCAAAATTTAGACATCTGCTTATTAACCAAGGTGACAAAATTAAACAGGAGATGCCAAATATATCATATAGATTCCATTTAGTCGTCATATTGATTTTTTCGTTAGGAAACATTGGTACTAATATTATCAACCTAAAAGCTCTTGTACCTTTCCCAAATACAAGTAAATCGTTAACACATGCTTTTACCAACCCTGATTGAACCCCTTCAAATTGAAATTCGTTGTACATTACTTTTTTCATATAACCAGTATTGTACTCCTTAGTACAATTTACCTTGGGCCATGTGCTGAAATTGAACAATTCCATTTTTAGGGAGAAGTTTAGAACTTCTGCCATGGTTGTATATAAGTTGATGTCGGGGCCATGTACTTTTAGAATATGACCTGTCGAATTACGATCGTAATTGACGTAAGGTTGATATGGAAACACACCGGCAGTAAGTTCGTAACCATTTAGATCATTCAATTTGTAAGGAAACAAATTTGTTCGCTGTTGTAGTCGAGTTTTAACAGAACTGTTTGTAAATGGATTATAGTACCGCAAGTAAGCATCAATTTTGTTGAAACTGTCAGCAATCTTTGATTCCTTATCTTCTTTCTGTAGCTCTAACTTTAGGACACTAATGTCCAAAAACTGTTTCGACCAACACAATTGAAAGAATTTTTTGTACTTCGGAATTTTTGTGGCATTGGTTATTGCAATCAAAGTTTTTGGATGTGTTCTTTGCTGTGACATTTTGGAAACATTGTCAAGCACTTTGATTATCTTTGATACATTTCTTGTATTTTCTGAAGGGATGATTACCAATCTCGTTACTTGAAGCAAATAAGGATCTAGTCGCAAATCTTTTTGTTCTCCACTCATCATGCAATGGAAATCAACAACTCGGGTTGGAATCATTTTAGAAATATTGTTTTCAATTTGATAAATAATGCTGTTGTTGAAATCATTTTCATACAAAAGGAGTTGTTGATGAATTTTTGTCTTCTCATTCAATGCTTTCTCCAAGTTTTGTTTCCATTTAAATGCAGACACTTTTCCATCATTGAAAAAGTATAACAGCACTAGAAGTACTGTGAATTGTTTTGAAATATATGATAACTTCATTGTGTTCCGTTTATAGCCTCTTACACCTGGAAGATTTTTTTTTTTGCATTAAGACTTCCTAACGAATGTATAAATTGTTATTAAAATTTAAAAACTAATTTCCATAAAAGTAAAAGTTAATGTGCCAGTAGAAATTCAATGCCTTCAATCAACTTACCAAATTTCATTTGCTTCCTCTTTGAGTTTTGAACTAAAAGTAAGCAGTACAATATTTCACATATTCTGTTAGATAGTCACAAAAAGACTAGAATTGAAACATTACATTTTTTCCTGAAAGGTCAATGTTAATGGATATAGTTTTGATAAACAGCATGCATTTTAAGATAAAAAATTTTTATTCATTTTGTTGTAGAAATGCAATTCTAAAAGCCAAATAATAATGAAAACTATATTTCATTTAATAATTTGAAAACATATATTTTTTCTGGGAAACATTAAATTACTAATATTGAATTAAATTAAGAACGGTTGTTTAGATTTGCGTAAAATTTTAATTTGCTTATGCGAAAAATATTGATCTAGTATCAGCATTTGTGTATGTTTTAAAAACAAATTGTAACTTTTAATGGAATAACAAATAAAAACACAATGATTAATAATTAATGACAGGACATTGTAATTAACAAATAACAGAATTGTAATAATAAGTTGTAACTTTAACAAATAACAAATTGTAACAAATAATAACAAACTATGAACAGGTAACGGGATTGTAATAACAAGTTGTAATTAATAAATAACAAAATTTAAATAACAAATTATAGCAACAATAAATTGTAGTTGATAATTAACAAAAATGGTAATAAAAATAACTTAGTTATAACAACTAGAAAAACAACACATGTGTTAAAAAATAGAACTGGATCAATATACGATTTAATGAATTCAGAGGGATGCGTCAAACTATGTGTACGTATAACAATAGTTTAGCACAATGCACGCTTGTAATATTGAAAACAATGTTTCTTTACCAAATTATTTATTTATTAACGACATGTTGTGTACCACCAAAATTATCAAGGAACTTTTTTTTCTAACGTCGTGTTTGATGAAGCGAGGAAAATTTTCAATTTTATAATTATCCATAATATAAATCTCCTAATAAATTAACAAATTTCAATGTGTTGCAACATTGCACCCTGTGAAGGATTCTTTTATCTTGCATAACAAGTTTTGCAGAACAATTCTGAGATTTTATATTATAATAAGAATGAGTTAAGGTTGCTTAAAAAATTTGCTTGTTTGCTTTTTGCTGTTTGCTTAAAAATTGTGACTATACACAACAATAAATTGTAATCAAAAACTAAAATCAAAGCTTTTAAAATACTTGTAAATAAAAATTTCAAAAGCAAAAACAAGAAATGAACATAAATGTCCAATTAAGAGTAGGACTATCATTTGCTTCAGAACTTTTGAGGGAAGAGAAAATTTTCCTAAATACAAATCAATTTCACTTTGCCCTTGAGAAACTTTTGGTAGGTATTCAGCATCCCATTTGTCACTAATACCAGATTCAATAAGAGCAATAGAAACAAGACCAAATCTTTCTGGGTATGGTGAACCTGCTGAATAATATATTACACTTCCTGGAACTACTTGAGCCTTATTAAAAATTTTCATTTTTACTTCTCCACTAGAATTTCTTATTCTTTCCATTGCCAAGAGTGCCGAATGTTCCCTGCCATAACACGCAACATTTTGTTCATCATTTACCAATTTAGCACATTCAAAGAATGAATTTTCGGAATAAATAGCCTTGTTAAAGATCTTTTCAAAAGCCGTATCATTGTTTTCAAATTTATCATTCGTGGAATGTGTATAGAGAGTTAAATTCTTGTCATACAACTCTTCGTATGTTTTAATTTCGTGAACTGTTTCTTTCTTTAGTTGAAGATTGCATAGTGTTGAAAAGATGTTTGATGATTGGAATAAGAAAATGAATATCATCAGTATAAATGTAATCCTTTCAATAATTTTTATTGGCATTTTAGGTGTTGCACTACCCAGTGCTATTTGAATAGCGTACATTAATTTCCATTTGTCAGGATCAAAATTTAGACATCTGCTTATTAACCAAGGTGACAAAATTAAACAGGAGATGCCAAATATATCATATAGATTCCATTTAGTCGTCATATTGATTTTTTCGTTAGGAAACATTGGTACTAATATTATCAACCTAAAAGCTCTTGTACCTTTCCCAAATACAAGTAAATCGTTAACACATGCTTTTACCAACCCTGATTGAACCCCTTCAAATTTAAATTCGTTGTACATTACTTTTTTCATATAACCAGTATTGTACTCCTTAGTACAATTTACCTTGGGCCATGTGCTGAAATTGAACAATTCCATTTTTAGGGAGAAGTTTAGAACTTCTGCCATGGTTGTATATAAGTTGATGTCGGGGCCATGTACTTTTAGAATATGACCTGTCGAATTACGATCGTAATTGACGTAAGGTTGATATGGAAACACACCAGCAGTAAGTTCGTAACCATTTAAATCATCAAGTTTGTTGGGAAACAAATTGGTGTTTTGTTGTAGTGGATTATTAAAAACACTGTTTGTAAATGGATTATAGTAAAGCAAGTAAGCATCCATTTTGTTGAATCTGTCAGTAAACGGTGTTTCGTTACCTGTTTTATGTTGTTCCAACCTTAGGACACTGATGTCCAAAAACTGTTTTGACCAACACAATTGAAAGAATTTTTTGTACTTTGGAATTTTCGTTGCATTGGTTATTGCAATCAAAATTTTTGGAAGTGTTCTCTGCTGTGACATTTTGGCAACATTGTCAAGCACTTTGAATATCTTAGATACATTTCTTGTATTTTCTGAAGGGATGATTACCACTCTTGTGACTTGAAGCAAATAAGGATCTAGTCGCAAATTTTTCTGATCTCCACTTATTGTGTTCTGGAAATCAACAACTCGAGTTGGTATCATTTTGGAAATGTTGTTTTCAATTTGATGTATAATGCTGTTGTTGAAATCATTTTCATACAAAAGGATTTGTTGATAAAATTTTGTGTTCTCATTTAATACTTTCGCCAAGTTTTGTTTCCATTTAAATGCAGATACATTTTCATCATAGAAGAAGTGCAATAGCACTAGGAGTACAGTGCATTGTTTTGAAATATATGATAACTTCATTTTGTTTTTTATGTAGCGTCTTGCACGTCTGGAAGATTATTTTTTGCATTAATTCTTCCCGACCAATATATAAATTGTTATAAATAATATTTAAAAAATTAATTCTATAAAAGTAAAAGTTAATGTGCCAGTAAAATTTGAATGACTGCAATCAACTTACCTTTCATTTGCCTCCTCTTTGAGTTTTGAACTAAGAGTAAGCAGTACAATATTTCCGACATTGTATTAGATTGTTGCAAATTGACTAGAATTGAAAAAATACAATTGTTCCTGCAATGTCAATATTAACATTGCTTATTGTTTTGATAAAAAGCCAGCATGTTAAGATAAAAAAAATGTATTCACTTTGTTTTAAAAATACAATTCTAGAAGGCAAACAATAATGAAAACCTTATTTCATGTTATCATTTAAAATAATTTTTTAAGTAGGATCCTGTAAATTATTGAGTTTGATTAAGAAGATTTGTATACAATTGCGTAAAACTTCAATTTATTTATGCGCTTGTCTTCAAATATTAATCCTGTACGTGTCTTTACATAAGAAAGTATGCGAAATTTATAAATTAAATTATTATTGATTTGTCTTCTGCCTTCTATTTGCAGAAGAAAAATATCGACAAACCAGCATGTGTGTATGTACAGAAGAAAGTAGTATACTATTTTACAATCTAGAAAAAAGTATCATTCATTTTAATACAGATTAAAAGGTAAATAGATTTTTCATTTAATACTTAAAGTACTTGTGGATAATAATTTCAGAAACAAAAACAAGAATGGAACATGATTATCCAAGAGAAAGGAGAATCATCATTAATTTTAAGACTTTTGACGTAAGCGATATATCCTGTTCAGACGAGTCAGATTGATTTGCTTTCAGTGACATTTTTGGAAGATATGCAGCATCCCATTTTTCGCTAATTCCAGATTCAATAAGAACAGATGAAACAAAACTAAAACGATCTGGATATGGTGAACCTTCTGCAAAAAATATGAAGCTTCCCGGCACCATACGATCTATCATAAAGACTTTGATATTTATTTGTCGACCAGAATTTTTTATCCTTTGCATAACCAAATATGCTGAATGTTCTCTGCCATAACATGAAACATTTTGATAATCATTTGCCATTTGTGCACATTCAACGAATAACATTTCTGAATATATTGCCTTGTTGATAAACTTTTTAAAGGCGGTATCATCGTTGTCAAACTTGATTGCAAGAGAATCTGTATAGAGAGTTAGATTCTTTGCTATCAATTCATCTAATGTTTTAACTTCGTGCACGACTTTTTTCAATAGTTGAAAATTTAAAAGCGTTGAATGGATAAAGGACGATTGAAATAAGAAGAAAAATGTCATTAATATAAATACAATTCTTTCTAAAATTTTCCTTGGCATTTGGGGTGTTGCAAATCCCAATGACATTTGAACAGAGTACGTCCATTTCCATTTTTGAGATTCAAAACTTAGACATCTGCTCATCAGCCATGGTGATAGAATTAAACCGAAGACAAGTGCCACTTTTGATAGATTCCATTCAATCAATTCTGAACACGTAGCAGGGAAATTTGGTACTAATATTACCATTCTAGAGGACCTTGTACCTTTTCCTATTTCGTGAAAATTGGAAACGCACGATTTTATGAAGAGAGATTGAATTCCCATAAATTGCAGTTCATTGTAAATTAACTTTCTCACTAATCCAGTGGTGTATTCCTTGGTGCAATTTGGTAAGGGCCAATTTGTAAGATTGTACAATTTCATTTTTAGGGAGAAGTTAATTACTTCTGACATGGTCGTCCATAAGTTGATGTCAGGACCATGTACTTTTAGAATATGACCTGTTGAATTACGACTGATGTTGACATAAGGTGGAAAGTGAAATACACCTGTTTTGATCATGTAACCATTCATATTTCGAAGTTTATTTGGAAACAAAACTGTATGCTGCTTCAATTGGGTTTTAGTAGACCGCATTGTGAATGGATTATAGTAGCGTAAGTCAGCATCAATTCCGTTGAAACTGTCAGCAAATGGTGTTAACTCACTTTCTTTTAGGTGCTCTA